TGTTAGCTCAGTGGAGATAAACTCAAGAGGCAGCAATTGCACAGAGCACCTGCCTTCCAAAAACATCTCATGGAGCTGCATTGGGAAGTCTGTGATTGGACAGTCACAGAATGTTTGGGCAGGGTTAGTCAGAGAAGGCTATACAAAGATCTACAGCTTTTGTAAGTTGTTGTTATCTGCAATGACAAAATGCAGAAACAAATGCATGCATATTTTAATTACGGTATATGTACTAAATAGTGATATTTATATTTTCTTAATTTGGGCAGTGGAGTTTCCCTTTAAGCATATTAAGAAAAAGATTAAGAAATATATTCTTATCATTCCAGTATGGATGGAGTTGACTGCCTGGAAGGTCAAGATGGTATTTTTTTGTTTAGTTTTTCTAAAAAACACCATAAACACAATTGGGTAATCCCTAAATCCTGGACTGGTAAGCATTCCTTTAAAAATGAATTTCCCTGCCCATATTAATCACTCATATTAATGTCTACAAGTGTGCAGAAAATGACAGCTTCCCTCTCCTTCCAAACAGTTAACAAAGTTTTAATGGGTTATATCAATCCAACCATTGTAGGGGATCAGATAATACACTTTCCTATTTAACTGCTATAATTACGTTAGCATTATACTCAAATTATTATTATTTTTTTTTTTTCAGTTAGTTGCCCTGCTAGTAATACCCTTGCAATTACTTATAAGCAGACTATTTGACCATTTTTATTTTCTAGTTTAGTCACACATACTGTACGTGAGAAAATTAGCATTTTACAGACGCTGCATAAAATATTACTAGATAAAAGGACACTGTATACAATTAAAGATGTTTTTTCCCAAAAAATATCTGGGATTAACGAAAAAATGAAAAATATCAATTGTATATTTACATAATTAAATTTTTTATTAGTTTGTCTGAAAGGCAATCTATATACAAAATTTCTGTTTTGTAAAATATTTATATAGGATAAAATTATAGGATAGTTATGCATCATTTGTTTCGAATTAATTGTATGCTTGCTTTTCAAACAAATTGTCTTTGGTAGTGAAGGTGGTAAAGGTAAGTTTGACTATATGTTTAATCTTTCACTGAGAAGCAACAATCTGAGAAGCAACAAGCTAAAGAAATAGAGAAATACTCCAACTTTATAAATAAACATATTTAGTTATAATGTTAGATCAGTCCTTTAAATCTACACACATTTGTTCTTGCAGTTACTTAATATCTTGTTTTAATATGTAATACATTAGTGTGTTGTCCAGTATCCCGTTTTAATATGCAATGAATGTGTTTATTGCTTAAATCCTGTGTATCAAATAGAGTAAGGTAAGGGAATGTGGGTAGGTGCAACAAATCAAAATGTTTTTTTGGCAAACTTAAAGCCAGTCTCCATGTTTTGTATTTGTTCCTACCCCAGGAAAATAGAAAAATATGTCACCCTTAAACTATGCAACTATGATAACCCCACTATGTCACTACTTGGTACAATAAAACACGGATAATGCCATTATGTGACATCCATGCAGTGGCATATCTAGGGTATGGCACATGGCCTAGGTACCACTTGAAGGGAATTTTAAATTAGAGCTGGATAAGGCTTCCTGCACAGAGCCGGACCAGAAGACCTGCAGGTGCCCACCGGACCACCAAGGAATGTATCCTGCCCAGGAGGTAAGCAGAAGGGTGGAAATTAAAAAAGGCAATTACATTGTGGGGAGATTCTGTTTTAACACAGCCTCCTACATAATGTCCCTCCCCTACACATACAAAACCTCCATAGGTTGTGGCTCCCTCAATCACCGTGCCACAGTCACTGGGCGGGTCTTAAATACCCGATTTTCCGCGCCAAAAGGCCTTTAAATGTACGGACTTTATACAATATTGTGAACTGCACCTGAGGAAGACGAGATTGATCGTCGAAACGCGTTGTGCTACTACCTATGCTGCTATTTTTGCTGATTTTACAAGACCTCAATGTAAGGTTTTTTATTTACTTGTAATAAATGTGTTTCTTATACTCTTCTAATTTGATGTTTGCTTGCTCAATAATTTGCATATTCTGAGGACCAAGCTTCATCTCTGGGAGTAACCTCAAGAATTGAATTGAGACATTTTAAAGTGACATCACTTGAACCGGCTTTTATACGGGATTTGGCAAATGTTTATGACCCTCAAAGATCTCAAAATATTGGGGTATTTATCTCCTCTTCTATTATCACATATTCACTGATTGTGTTTATATTACTGCAAGACTTGTGGGTCTGGTATATGCGCTGCACACTTTTTTCTGTTTTTTGTATATTGATGTTTCTGTGGGTTTATTGTGATTGTACCCACTAGTGTGTTCTAGCTGCTATTTATTCTAGCACCATAAATTGTATCTTTCTTTGTTTCACAGTCACTGACAGCCTAACCTTGTCACACTCACCACCCCACAACCCTATCACACTAATCCTGTAACACTCATCCTATCACACTTATTCCCTCACCCTGCCACACTCTCTCCCCACCATTTTGGATACACCCTGTAACTCTGTCACACTCACCCACCCCCCCAAATCTGTCACGCTTACTCACAAACTGTCACACTCACGCCCCCTAACCATGTTGTTCTCACCATCCAATATTTGTCTCTTTTTCTCCCACACATGAAACACAGCCAGACTATAAACACAATACACAAAACCCACAAGCAGCTCCCCTTACAAATAATAGCAGCAAGTAACACACATATGCTTCCAGACACATACTTATACATGCACACTGAACCAGAGACTCACATTCACACAAAAGGATGCTTAGGCACATAAACAGGTACACAAGGCCAGAAAGAGACACATTCAGTCAGAAATGCACATACACACACACACACACCAAACACACTCTCAGACACATACAAAGGTTCATAATGTTAAACAGACACACTCTCCCCCCTCATACAACTCTTTGCCTCCTCACAGACACACAACACTCAGCCCCAACAGACACAGAACCCAGGGCTCTAGGATGGCACCCTGCCTTGGGCAACCTGAATCCGGCTCTGGTACCAATGAGCAGCTGCTGGGTAGGCAGTTAGTTTTATTCTTTTAGCCCTGCCACAGGTAAGTGGCAGGGCTGCCATGGTGGGGTGAAACAGAACTGGCAGCATAAAGTATGCACCTCTGGTAGGTGCAGACCTTAGTAATGGCTTCCTTGCGATTCGGTGCACTCTAGTGATGTTCCCAGTTTGCACTCTGACTCACTGAGTGCTGAACTGTGAGAAAGCAAGCCTCATGCTCCCCTGCTGGACAATAAGCGACTCAGGACCCCCTATAGACCACCAGACAGAGCTTACGCCTGTTGGGCCATCATGGATAATAGTCCGCTTTCCATGAAGAACACCAAGCTGATGTGGGCTACACAGAACCCAACTACGCACATTATATACAGCCACCACACATATCCTGTCACATACAGCCAGCACACACATTACATCCAGCTTGAATTGTTTAGCTGATTTTATGGTAAATTTATCTTAAAGACTGGTGTCACATATTTGGACGGGTGCTGTAAGAGGTGTAATTTCAGTGTTTTTCCATAGACTCTATCTTCAGCAGATACGCCTCTGCATCCATGAAAGGGAACATAATTCTTCATCACAGCAATATTTTACCTGGTGTTGTTATTTTTCTATACACAGAAATGAATTGATTTACATTCATTACATTTGCACTGTTTGTTTGGTTGTGTTAGGTTCATTACTAATTTTGAGACCCCAAGGCTCCTGTAATTACCCATTGAAATGCAAAGCTGGATCCCAGAGCTTGATTTTTGGCTTCAATATCCCTTTTCATGGTACCAGATGGGTCTAGAAGTGATGTGTAATTAGTGTATACTCACTCTTGAACACAGAAGCAAATAACTTATGATTTGCAGCTAGAACTGTAAGATCTTTCAGCATGTAAACAAGTCTCTTTTCAAAGAATTAATGTTCCTTTCTTGAAGCAAATGTGATCGGAAGCACACTCTGCTACAAGAACATCTTAACAATGCAACAGCTTGCTCCATAATTTAAAGCCAATTGTGATTACTGCATAATTTCCTTGGAACCTATGTTACTTTCTCTATGAGTGCTGGATCAATGGCAATGACAAGCAACAGCCTTTCAAGGATCCTTATTGATAAAATGGCATCTTTATGGAAATACAAAATAATTGTTGAATAATTAGTGATTTGTGAATCTGACTGACTGAGTTTATGGACTATTCAGGCAATTTGGGAAGATTTAGACTGATAACCTTATAAATGTATACATTTTTCCTGTATACATTAAGATTTCCAAGACTGTCCATATATTTTTATTTATCTTAACCTCTTTTTTACCTGCTTCTGACTTTGAGTTACCCCCAGCTGTAAACTGGATAAGGAAAAAGCTATGGGAACTGACTGCGGCATTTCAGAGTGTCAATCAACAACGGCTATAGAAACTAGACGTGTGCATTCATTTTTGGCTGAATTTAGGCCCATTGGCTGATCATTGTAATTCCAAAACACCATATGGACATAATACCAAATGATGTGCATGATTATTTGATTTGTGATTTGGATTTCTGTCTGTGGTTCCATATGAGAAAAGATGATTAATGGTTAGGGCACAGCCACTAAATGTTGATTTTTTTTCAAAGATCAAGTCATAAATGATCAATAGGGCAGAAGTGGTCATGGTGGTTGGAGTATCCCTTTAAGCCAGAACCTCAGTCATTAAAATGGATGCACCCAAGGGGATCCCATTTGCCTCAGTTTGATTTACTGAATCTTCAGGTAATGAGCACCTGAATTCTCTCACCTGGACCTTTTTCAAAAAAGTGAGCTGGCAAGACATAAAAATAACGCAAAATTAATTATGAACCACTGGATACATACTGGTGATACTCAAAAAATTAGAATATTGTGCAAAATTTCATTTATTTCACTATTGCAATGTAAAAGGGGAAACTAATATATGAGATAGACGCATTAAATTCAAAGCAAGACAGTTCAAGCCATGATTTGTCATAAGTGCGATGATTATGGCTTACAGCTCATGAAAACCCCAAATCCACAATCTCAGTAAATTAGAATATTGTGAAAAGGTGCAATATTCTAGGCTCACAGTGTCCCACTCTAATCAGCTAAGTAAGCCATAACACCTGCAAAGGGTTTCTGAGCCTTTAAATGGTCTCTCAGTCTGGTTCAGTAGGAATCACAATCATGGGGAAGACTGCTGACCTGACAGTTGTGCAGAAAACCATCATTGACACCCTCCATAAGGAGGGAAAGCCTCAAAAGGTAATTGCGAAGGAAGTTGGATGTTGCCAAAGTGCTGTATCAAAGCACATTAATAGAAAGTTATGTGGAAGGGAAAAGTGTGGAAGAAAAAGGTGCACAAGCAGCAGGGATGACCACTGCCTGGAGAGGATTGTCAGGAAAAGGCCATTCAAAAGCGTTGGGGACTTTCACAAGGAGTGGACTGTGGCTGGAGTCAGTGCATCAACAGCCACCACACACAGACCGATCCTGGACATGGGCTTCAGATGTCGTATTCCTCTTGTCAAGCCACTCCTGAACAACAAACAACACCAGAAGCGTCTTACCTGGGCTAAAGAAAAACAGACCTGGTCCAAAGTCCTCTTTTCTGATGAGAGCAACTTTTGCATCTCATTTGGAAACCAAGGACCCAGAATCTGGAGGAAGAATGGAGAGACACACACTGCAAGATGCTTGAAGTCCAGTGTGAAGTTTCCACAGTCTGTGTTGATTTGGGGAGCCATGTCATCTGCTGGTGTTGGTCCACTGTGCTTCATTAAGTCCAGGGTCAACGCAGCTGTCTACCAGGAGATTTTGCACTTCATGCTTCCTTCCACAGATGAGCTTTATGGGGATGCTGACTTCATTTTCCAGCAGGACTTAGCACCTACCCACACTGCCAAAAGCACCAAAGCCTGGTTCAATGACCGTGGGATTACTGGATTGGCCTTGGAGACATGAGACCGAACAATGCAGAAGAGCTGAAGAGCACTATTGAAGCATCCTAGTCTTCCATAACACCTCAGCAGTGCCACAGGCTGATAGCTTTCATGCCATGCCGCATTGAGGCAGTAATTTCTGCAAAAGGGGCTCTGTAACGGATCACCTGGCACCCCGACTGGGTACCTCCATTGAAGGATGCTCCTAGCGCTTCCTGAGGACTCCAAGCACTGCAGCAGACACCACAACCACCGAACCGGAGAAGCATATGAATGCTCTCAAGCATATGAATGCTGTAAGGAGCTGAACAGGAAAAGCATACAATCAGTTTACACTCCTGGCAATCAGCATACAATCCAATTCCCCCAATAACGAGATGACACTTCGTTTTGAGGTCAAGCAGAACTGACTGTACTGGCACATACAGCCTCTTTTATTCACAATCCACAAACATAGTACTGCCCACAGGGTTTTGAAATACAACCAATCAATCCATACAATACACACAGACACTCCAACACAAAATCCTCCCCTCAGGCAGAGAAATACAGTATTATAAAACATATCACAGGGAGCCCAAAACATGCAATAACCCCATAGAAAACCAGGGGATCTGGGTGAACCACATATCCAAAATTCACCCAGATCCCTTCAGTAGTTTGCAAGATACAGTTTAATGCAGATTCCGCAGAACATATACAGGCTATATTAAAAATAATTACGGTATAATGTGTCCCCTGTTGTATAGTTTTAAACTACTGCATGATGTCTTTGTGCATCAAATACCGGCGAGATGCCACCGTGTAGAAAAGTCCAAACAGTGTCTGTAAGTTAAAATGGCCGCCATCCATTGTTCTCACCATGTGCTTCATCCATTGTTCTCACCATGTGGCTCTGATACATGAAATGGTGGCCACCAAGTAACTCCACAGTTTGTCTGGTAGTCTATCCAGCCGGACCAACAGATGAAACATATGGGGAACAGTGCAACAAACGAAGGGAATAATACAAAATATGAACAATAGTCATATTTGTGCACAATCTCAAGTTTTATCCCAGGGCCATAGTCAGAAGGTAGGAGGCAGGCAAGCAGCCCGCTCCAAGAACATGTGGCGAGGTCTGTTCCACCACAGGCTCAAACCAAGTACTGAGTCCATATGCATGCTTATACTTTTCAGAGGTCCGATATTGTTCTATGGATACCCCTTGTTTTATTGATTGCATGTAATATTCTAATTTACTGAGATTGTGGATTTGGGGTTTTCATGAGCTGTAAGCCATAATCATCGCACTTATGACAAATCACGGCTTGAACTATCTTGCTTTACATGTAATGTGTCTATCTCATATATTAGTTTCCCCTTTTACATTGCATTACTGAAATAAACAAACTTTTGCACGATATTCTAATTTTTCGAGTGTCACCTGTAGACTGCTCCTCAGTACTAATAAGATATAAAGAAAGAGTTTAACACTCAACAACACCTTAGGATTCCACAAAGCTCAGAGAATAGGACATCTTAATAAAAGGAAATGTTCACTTTTAAAGCACGCCAGATAATATAGTTAACATAGCCCAATAATATTATGTCAATAAATATATATATATATATATATATATACACAGTTGCAAGAAAAAGTATGTGAACCCTTTGGAATGATATGGATTTCTGCACAAATTGGTCATAAAATGTGATCTAATCATCATCTAAGTTACAACAATAGACAATCACAGTCTGCTTAAACTAATAAACACACAAAGAATGAAATGTTGCCATGTTTTTATTGAACACACCATGAACCCTTGGATTTAATAACTGGTTGAACCACCTTTGACAGCAATAACTTCAACAAAACGTTTCCTGCACTTGCAGATCAGACGTGCACAACGGTCAGGAGTAATTCTTGACCATTCCTCTTTACAGAACTGTTTCAGTTCAGCAATATTCTTGGGATGTCTGGTGTGAATCGCTTTCTTGAGGTCATGCCACAGCATCTCAATCGGGTTGAGGTCAGGACTCTGACTGGGCCACTTCAGAAGGCGTATTTTCTTCTGTTTAAGCCATTCTGTTGTTGATTTACTTCTATGCTTTGGGTCATTGTCCTGTTGCAACACCCATCTTCTGTTGAGCTTCAGCTGGTAGACAGATGGCCTTAAGTTCTCCTGCAAAATGTCTTGATAAACTTGGGAATTCATTTTTCCTTCGATGATAGCAATCCGTCCAGGCCCTGACGCAGCAAAGCAGCCCCAAACCATGATGCCCCCACCACCATACTTCACAGTTGGGATGAGGTTTTGATGTTGGTGTGCTGTGCCTTTTTTTCACCACACATAGTGTTGTGTGTTTCTTCCAAACAACTCAACTTTGGTTTCATCTGTCCACAGAATATTTTGCCAGTACTGCTGTGGAACATCCAGGTGCTCTTGTGCAAACTGTAAACATGCAGCAATGTTTTGTTTGGACAGCAGTGGCTTCCTCCCATGAAATCCATTCTTGTTTAGTGTTTTACGTATTGTAGATTTGCTAACAGGGATGTTAGCATTTGCCAGTGACTTTTGTAAGTCTTTAGCTGACACTCTAGGATTCTTCTTCACCTCATTGAGCAGTCTGCGCTGTGCTCTTGCAGTCATCTTTACAGGACGGCCACTCCTAGGGAGAGTAGCAGCAATGCTGAACTTTCTCCATTTATAGACAATTTGTCTTACCGTGGACTGATGAACAGCAAGGCTTTTGGAGATACTTTTATAACCCTTTCCAGCTTCATGCAAGTCAACAATTCTTAATCGTAGGTCTTCTGAGAGCTCTTTTGTGCGATGCATCATTCACATCAGGGAATGCTTCTTGTGAAAAGCAAACCCAGAACTGGTGTGTGTTTTTTATAGGGCAGGGCAGCTGTAAACAACACCTCCAATCTCATCTCATTGATTGGACTCCAGTTGGCTGACATCTCACTCCAATTAGCTCTTGGAGATGTCATTAGTCTAGGGGTTCACATACTTTTTCCAGCTGCACTGTGAATGTTTACATGGTGTGTTCAATAAAAACATGGCAACATTTCATTCTTTGTGTGTTATTAGTTTAAGCAGACTGTGATTGTCTATTGTTGTGACTTAGATGATGATCAGATCACATTTTATGACCAATTTGTGCAGAAACCCATATCATTCCAAAGGGTTCACATACTTTTTCTTGCAACTGTACATATATATATTTTTTTTAACACTTGTTTTGTTTGCTTGACATCACAGCTGCTTTTTAGAATTTTTAACATGTGTAAAAAACAGGCTGGCTGATCTTAACTTAATGTTTTAATGTTAAAGCTTATGGTAATCATTTGGAAGATACTTGTTGCAACGGCACCCCCAGGCATAAAATGGTTAAACCGCCATTTAGTAGATCTTCCCCTTCCAGAGACACAGGCACAGCTACCGCAGAACACCAAACCCCCGAACTGAATAGTAGGGAATGCTCCAAACTCCAGAACTGCATACAAAGTAGCACTCCAAACTCCCGAACTGGAACCTCACGAATAGCTGCTAACAGACGAACAGGAAAAACACCCAAGCGGCTTACACTCCTGGCAATCAGTCTCTAACAGCATACAGTAAATCCCCCCAAAGACGAGACAGAGCTCCGTGTTGAGGGTCAAGCAGTGGTCTGCTTTAATGAGGCTACCTGCCCGGTATTTATGCAGGTCTTGCACCTGGTGGACACTCCCCTAGGGGACCAGATGGAAGGCTGGGACACAAATGGTAAAAGGACCAATCACAGGCATACAGGGTTAAAACACTCCCACAGTACATTACAATCCCTCCCCTCTATCCTGGAAATAATTGGGAAGTAATCCAATTATTTCCAAGGACAGAGGCAAAACTCCATTAACCATATGGCAGTAAAAAGACATAAAAATATATAACTGTGCAGCCATTGCATAAAACATGTACATTCAACCTATCCTCAGATAGCTTAGGTCTGAGCTCACATTATTACTGAATGGCACTCAGACCACACACATACAGTTCAATTGCCATGGAGCCAAAGTCTTTTATTACATGAATAGGCTCCATGGCATAGCTATCTGGGTTAAATGAGTTCATTCAGTAAATCCGAGAATCTACCGAACGCCAGGGCAGAAATACATGAATAGACCTTTTTGCATAGGAAAATAAAGTATTTAAATGCCGGTCCATAGTCAAAAGGCAGCAGGCAGGCAACCAGGCTCCTCCAATGCACAGTGGCGAGATTGGTCTCGTCACACTTGTCAACTTCTGCAACTTTATACCCCTGCTCTTTTACTGTGGGAATTCTGGAGCTAGTCAGACGGACTATAATATTTGTGCTATTTGTATTAATTTCAGAGTTCAATTTTCTATCCT